TGCCACCACGCCGGCAGAGTGTTAAATCTCTTAAGGTATAATTTTGAGCCAATCTTCGGAATATTTTATAATCAATACAAATGAATTAAAGTACCATGTTCCTTACTCTTTGGTAGATAGATTAAAAAATGTGCAATATGGGGCCTACTACTAAAAAAGTTGGCACAACAGGGAGTGGTGGTGCATAGCTATAATCCTAGCACTTGGGAGGTGGAGGCAGGAGGATCAGAAGTTCAAGATCATCCTCAGTTTCATAACAAGTTCAAGGCTAGCTTGGACTATATGAGACCCTGTTTCAAAAAAAAAGCAAAACAAAACAGCACAATACTATGTGATATTCCCTGTAGAGGATGAGAATCTTGCCGACTCAGCATGAACTTAACAACTAGAAAATCAGAAACTAGATTAATATTAAAGCCTTGAGACATCAGGTCAGAGATATGACTATAAAAACCAGAGTTTAATGATGGAGCTGCCTGCAACCTTGCCTCCATAGGAATGCCTTCAAGGAATGATATCATGAGCCTAAGCAACATCTTCAAAAATGAGAGTGAAGTTATTTAGGTATCTTGCTCAACTGCTTGCATTTTTGTTGAGTCGCATCTTGGTTACTAATTAGCTATAAGAATTTGAGCAAGTATTAATATCCATTTGTGTTACAATTTTTATGAAAGTGGAGAGAGAGGATAACATATGCATCTAACATTGTACTAGCTTGTGAATTATTAATCATATTTCTAATTAGTTTAACAACTTTTTCTGTAGGGAAAAGAAGATGGAGATAAGTTGAATTTTCATAGCTCCTGTGCGCATGGCTTTTTCAATCAACGCAGACTTCCCTCACTTTCTGCATATATTACTTATTAGTTTGTAGAGACCCAATGTTTTATAGTAAAGTAGAAGAATATCTAATTCAATGAAGAAAACAAAGTATTCATTAAATAAACAATGAGGAGCCCTGGAGAGTGTGACCTGCAGGTCTCCAAGGCCTGGATCCCCAATGATCTGGTTATATTTTGATTTATGTCAGCTTGTGATTGCCCTTGTTTTGACCTAAGAGAGGATTGCGTGGGAAGTTTGTCTGTGAGATAGAGCTGAAGCACTGCTCTGCAGAGTGTCTGGAGCCTAAGTGGATGCAGTGTCCCCTGTCTAACCCCTGATAAATAGGGGAAAGGCCCACTCTGCTCAGCTGGGAAGTCCAAGTTGTTGCTAAATGTATGTACTCATTTTGTGAGGAAAAGGACAACCTATAGTAGTATAACCCAATTGTGAGTATTTTATCTTCTGTTTTTTTAGCATAAAATTCATATAAAAATTTAACATAAAATTATAAAATGAGATGATTTTGTAATCTTATGCTGCCTAAATTAAAAATGAGTATTAATTTTGTTGTCAATTTAAATGATTACTAAGCTGTATAATGTAAATAAAAAGTGTTTTTGAGATCTTTAGTTCTATCATCATCACAAATTCTTCTTGCAAAGTTGATTAAGCTGATTACTACTATAGAGTCAAGCTATAAAAACAATTTTCTCTTAAAAATAAGAATTTAGTTGGGTAAAGAAAATTAGATCGTAATTTCATTCTCACTTATAGGAGCATAAAGCAATTTTGGACTTTAGTTGACTTAGTTGACATTTGATGTAGTAATACATGTTGTTTAAGAATGATGTTCACTCACTATTTGCTAAGTAGAATTTTTTTTTAAATCAAGAACTTATTGATAATGTTTTTACTATTGAAAGAATAGATTATAAGGAAATTCAAAATGACATGCAATATATTCTGATGCATATTACATCTTTGTTGAAGATGGTATGATGATATGATTATGAACTCTACTCTAGAGTAGGGAAACAGATACAAATGATGTTTCTATATCTCTGAAATATAGAAAATAATTTCATAGCCATTAATTTTTTAAATGTTAGCCTACTTTTTCTGCTATCATTCTTAATCTATGAAAGTTACTGAACATAATGTTTAACATAAAATTATAATATGAATTAGATACTTTTATCTCTTAAAACTATGTGTACAATTATATGATTCTTTTTGTTTGGACTATTTAGAATAGGTGAATTCATTGAGAAAAAAGTTGATTAATATTTTATTAGTAATTAATACACTGTTAATATTGGCATTAATATTGTCAGGCATTCCGGAAAGCGGAATAAGGAATGACTGCTGATGGGTATGGGATTTGGGGAAGTTATTAAAACTCTCTGGTATTAGATGGTGAAGGTAGTTGAATCTGATATGAATATTCTGAATTCCACAGTTAGGATTTAATTTTATGTTACTTATATGTCAATAAGCTACCATCAAATCCTTTGATTAGCCATGGAAAAATGCCCTCTGTATTCTGAAATGCAAAGTATTAATAAATAAGAATCAATAAACCTTAATTTCTGTTGTTAAAAGATATTCTTCCTTCCTCTATGTCTGTAAGCTTTGGCTGGTGACTTTTGGCTCATAGAACACTACCATGCAAAACCATTTTATAATTTTGTATCAGAGAAAAACTCTGCCTTGCAAAACATTTTTTAAATTATGTGCCATTTGTTAAAGCTACTGTAAAAACTGAAATGTTTTTCTTGTAAAGTGTTTGCTTTTCAGCTATATTAATTCATACCATTAATTCATTTGCAATTCAAGTGACACATGACGACAGTAAACTAAAAATGGAAAACTCCCTAACACGTATTTTTAGGTCTCAGAAAGCAATATGCTTTTTTCCTGTTAAAGTTCTAGATATATATGTGAAAATCTCCTAAGGACAATATCTGAGTAAAGAAGAGGGCGTGCAAAGTCGTTTATAGAATTAAGTATATTTTCAATAGAATGCCAATGACAGTTTGTGGAAAATACACACATTTCAATAAAAGCTATACTTATTAAAGAAAAATAAGACTTTGTCCATGCCAACTTGATTTTCTTGAAAAAAATCCTCTTATAACTAAGTTATTTTGTTTTAAATGAATTTCCATTGAAACTTCTTTCTTTAGCAGAGCAAAAATTATTTTTTTCATGTTTCTAGGCTACTAATAATATACTTGAGTTGAAAAATTACATTTATTTGCGTGTGTGTGTGTACCATGAAGTGCATGTGGAGGTCAGATAACAACTAGCAGGAATCAGTTTTTTCCTTCCATCTTGTGGATCCCTAAGATTGAACTCAGGTTGTCAGGCTTGGTTGCAGGTGCCTTTACCTACTGAGCCATCTTGCTGGTCCTACTTCAATGTTTTAAAACTAATTTTGTGAATGCTTTAAAAAATAAAAAAAATGGGGCTGGAGAGATGGCTCAGCAGTTAAGAACACTATTCTTGCAGAAAACCCGTGTTTGAATCCCAGCACACACATGGCAGCTAACAACTGTCCCTAACTCAAGTTCCAGGGGATCTGACAGTTTCTTCTGTTCTCTGCGGGCATTGCACAACATGACATGACGTGGGTGCAGTTATCTACATGCAGGCAATATATGCATGTACATAAAATAAAAATAACAAAATATTTTTTAAAAAATAAAAAACTAAAAAAAATTGTTATTTTTTTCTTCACTTCTTTTATTCTTAAGAATCTCTCACAATATTAGGATACTGAACATAAGATATACATCCTACCAGGCATGGTGGCACACACCTTTAATCCCAGCACTTGGGAGGCAGAGGCAGGCTGATATCTGTGAGTTCGAGGCCAGCCTGATCTACAGAGTGAGTTCCAGGCAGCTGGAGCTACAGGGAGACCCTGTCTCAAAAAGACCAAAAAAAAAAAAAAAAAAACCAAAACAAAAAATCAAACCAACCAAACAAAAAAGATATACATCCTATAAATATACATTACAATCAGTGGAATATTTAAACTAAAAAAGACCAAGTATTCACCAAACATCTGGTTTACTTCAAGAAGAGGTATCAACACTGAGCCTCCCATAATGTCCAAAGGAGAGTGTTGGAAATAACCCACCCACTGCCTTGCTCCCATTAGTAGAGCAGTTCTCAGCTGGGGGTGTATAACTCAGTTTGTAGAGAGCTTGTCTAGCCTGGGCAAAGTACTAATAATAAAAGGTAAATAATAAATTTTAAAAATTTATTATTTTTATTTTATGTGTATGCATGTATGTAAGTGCACCCATGTCACACAATACTGTGGAGGACAGAAGAGGTTATCGGATCCCCTGGAACTGGAGTTATGGGCAGTTGTTAGCTGCCATGTGGGTGCTGAGATTTGAACCTGGGTCTTCTGCAAGAACAGTCAGTGTTCTTAACCACTGAGCCACCTCTCCAGCCCCCAAATACTTTTTTTTTTTGAGATAGGGTCTCCCTGTAGCCCCAGCTGTCCTAGAACTCACTATGTAGACCAATATGGCCGTGAACTCACAGAGATCCACCTGCCTCTGCCTCCCAAGTGCTAGGACTACAGGAGTGCGCCACCACGCCCGGCTTCCCCCCCACCCCAAATACTTTTTAAAAATTTTAAAATTTTTGATCTTTTTGAGACAGGCTCTCCCTGTAGCCCCAACTGTCCTGGAACTCACTGTGTGGACCAAGCTAGCCTTGAACTCACAGGGATCCACCTGCCTCTGCCTCCCTAGTGCTGGGATTAAAGGCATGTACCACTATACCTAGCTTCATGAATACTTTATTTTTTAAAAAAATTTATTTTACTGTGCATAATACTACAATCCTCCTATTAAACATTAAAAACAAGAACTTTTAATTTGTGAAAAGTCTTGCATAGAAAATAATGTAGGCATGATTCTGAGCACCTAAGAGATGCACATTTAATATTCGGAAAGGGACTGCTTTATCGAAGTATTATTTATGTATATATCCCATATGCCCAGGAGTATAACTCATCCATAAGCTGATGAAAACAGATCTGATGTAGACAGTATTATTTGGGATTTTATTTCCTGATGTTAGAAGAAGAAGGCCTTAGAACACTAGTATTCATAGCTTGAATCCTGACATTATTATAAGGTACTTCTGTGTTGTCAGGATATCACCAGTTTTGTTCAATATACTAACTCTGGCTTGTGACCCCTTAGCCAGCAAATTCTGTATGTAAACAACTGATTGCTTTTTGATTTTCAGTTTCCTTTAGTTGTTTAATATTGTATTAAGCTTAATGGTAAATACAATCATTTTAAAAGGAGGATGAACAAGTTCAAGATTCCATGTTCATTTGTAATGTTCTAGAATCTAATTGATACTCAATAGAGAAGCTTAGAAGGAACTAGACAGTATTGCTAAAAACAGTACACAAATTAAACTAGAAACATTTTTTTGAGAGTCTCATGTAGCCAGGCTGACCCTGAACTTACTTTGTAGCTGATGATGGCCTTTAACTCTGGATTCCCCTGTTTCCACTTCCCAAGTACAAGGGTCACAAGAGTACACCACCACATTCAACTCAGAATTCTTTTATTATGCAGAGGCAACTGATTTACAGCAGTGGAAAAACAGAAGTACATAGTGACTGATCCAGTTGTTGCTGGGTTTTAGTTCTCAAGGAGATTTCATATTGAAAGTACATTTACCTGGAGGTACTACCCTTCAAACAACTATTATTACGGCAGCAGAGGATGGGGAGGTTCACATGCTTTTAAAGGAGTCTAGATCCTACTAGGTGAGACAAGAGACAGATTTCAGAGATATTACTGTTTGAAACATCTTTATAGATGTAGAAATCTTACTGATGGAACTGTTACATTAGTAATAGATCAAAGTAAAAGTAAAAAAAAAAGACCAAAAAAGAAAAAAAACCCTAATCTCTGGGGGCTGGAGAGATGGCTGAGTGGTTTAGAGCAGTGGTTGTTCTTGCAGAGGACCTGGGTTCAATTCACAGCACCCACATAGTGGCTAACAACTGTTCGTAACTCCAGTTCTAGGTGATCTGACACCCTCTTCTGACCTCCATAAGCATTTGAAACATGGGTGCACTTACATACATGCAGGCAATATACTCCTGTACTTAAAATAAAATATTAAAAAAACATAATCTCTCTGAAGCCATCTCAGAAGTGTGTCATGTATAAGTATTTTTGGCATGATTAAGAAACCCATTTTTGCTGGACCTGGTGGCAAAGGCCTATAACCCTAACCCTTGGAAGGTAGGGGCTGGAGGAACAGTAGTTCAAGACCAACCTGGGCTACATGAGACCCTCTCTCAAAAACCAACTAACCAACAATCAACCAACCAACCAACCAACCAACCAACAAAACAACCAACCAACCAACCAACCAACAAAACAACCAACCAACCAACCAACCAACAAACCAACCAACCAACCAACCAACCAACAAAACAACCAACCAACCAACCAACCAACAAACCAAAACCAACCAACCAACCAACCAACTAACCAACCAACCAACCAACCAACCAATCAACCAACCAACCAACAAAACAACCAACCAAACAACTCTCTAAACCTCCTGTAAAACAATAAAACCCACTTTCTTCTTTTTTAAAAAAAAATTTATTTTATGTGTATGAATTTGTTTATTTTTATTTTTATCTGTAAGAGCTTTTTGATTGCACTGATATAAGTGTACCATGTGCAGGCAATGCCCATGGAGGCTAAAAGAGGTGTCAGATCCCCTGGAACTGGAGTTGCTAATGGTTACTAGTCACCATGTTGATGTGGGCACTGAACCTCCAAGTGTAGCCAGTGCTCTTAACCAGTGAGTCATCTCTCTAGCCCCCACCCCCTTTAAAGTATAGCCCTTTTCTGCTTTCTTTTTGACTCAATGTCTCTCTGTTGTAGCTCAGGCTGGGCTCACACTAATGATCCTCTTGCCTCAACCACCTGAAGTATGTAGCCTCATGCCAAATTTCTTCTTCCTCCTCCTTCTCCTCCTCCTCCTCCTTTTCTTTTTCTTTTCTTCCTCCTCCTTCTCCTCCCCTCCTTCTCCTCTTCCTCCTCCTTTTCTTCTTCATCTTCCTCCTCTTCCTCCTCCTCCCCTCCTCCTCCCCCTCCTCTTCTCCCCCCGCCCCTCCTTCTTCTCCTTTTCCTTCTCCTTCTCCTTCTCCTTCTCCTTCTCCTTCTCCTTCTCCTTCTCCTTCTCCTTTTGTCTTTTTGAGACAGGGTCTCCCTGTAGCCCCAGCTGACCTGGAACTCACTATGCAGATCAGGCTGGCCTGGAACTCTCAGAGATCTACCTTCCTTTGCCTCCAGATGCTGGGATTAAACCCACTCAAACTTATTTTCTTATAGTGGAGAGAATAAAGCTACAAAATATGATGGCCGGGGCTGGAGAGATGGCTCAGCAGTTAAGAGCACTGACTGCTCTTACAGAGGCCCCGGGTTCGATTTCCAGCACCCACATGGAGGCTATGAACCGTCCTTAACTCCAGTTCCAGGGGAATCCTCATCTGACCTCCGCAGCATTTCACGACACGAGTGCATTCATATACATGCAGGCAATGCACTCATACACATAAAATAAAAATAATAAATAAAATAGTAAAAAAAACAGTGTTTACAAAATACTATGGCCTTTGAGATAAATTTTTCTCCAATAACTTCCAGCTTCAAAACTGATTTCCTGATTAATTCTAGTCAAAGATATATCCTTTTTTGGAGTTCTTTTCTAGGAAATAACAAAAACAAGGATTTTCCCCATAAGGAATGGTCTTAGAGTTTAATAATTTTTCCTCATAACTTTCACTTTTTGTTTTCCTATTGAAAGTAAAACACAGGGAATGGAGAGAAGGCTCAGCAGTTAAGAGCACTGGCTGCTCTTGCAGAGCACCCGGGTTCAAATCCCAGCACCCACATGGCAGCTGACAACAGTCTGTAACTCCATTTCCAGGGGATCCAATGCCCTCTTCTGTCTTCCACAAGCACTGCATGACACAATTGCACTTACACACATGCAAGCATAACACACATACATATTTTTAAAAAAGTAAAATGCTTTTTTTCCAGTAACTAATAAACTGTTGTCAGTAATCAAGCAGAACCAAAATCAATGTTTTAATATTTATTTTATTATAGTGTTATAGATGGCTCAGTGGTTAAGAGCACTGACTGCTCTTGCAGAGGACCCGAGTTCGATTCCCAGCACCCACATGGTGGCTACAAACCATCCTTACCTCCAGTTCCAGGGGAATCCGAAGCTCTCTTCTGACTTTCGTGGCATTGCACGACACGGGTGCACTCACATACATGAATAATAAAAAAAAATTAAAAAATAAAAACCAATAATTAGAAGTTAGAAGGTTAGAAAATATTATGAAGTTGTTCTCCTCTTTAATTTCCTTAGTATTCATGAAAAAGTCTACTTTTTTTTCCTACTTCATCTTAATTTATAAATGGAAATCTAAGAACTATTAAAATAACAAATTAAAAAATTTAAATTATTTATATTTTAATTTTCATTTTCCATGTATTAGTGTTATGCCTACATGTATGTAAGTGCACCTGTGTTGTACAGTGCCTGTGGAGGTCAGAAGAGGGCATTGGATCCCCTGGAACTGGAGTAATGGATGGGTTGTTAGCCACCGTGTGGGTGCTGGGATTTGAACTTGGGTCTTCTGCAAGAGCACCCAGTGCTTTTAACTGCTGAGCCATCTCTCCAGCCCCTAAAAAGACAAATTTTAAAGGTTTATTTTTCATTTATTCAGAGACAGGGTCTCACTATGTAGACTGGGCTTTGCCTCCCAAGTGCTGGAATTAAAGGCATGCACCACCGTGCCCATCTTTAAAGATTTATTTTTATTTATGTGTATGTGCATGTGCCTGGGTGCCAATGGAAGCTAGAAGAGGACATTGAATTTCCTGGAACTGGAGTTACAGGTAGTTGTGAGTCACTTGATGTAAGTGTGGGAATCGGAACTCAGGTCCTCTAGGAGAGCAGCAAGAGCTCTTAATCACTGAGCCATGTCTCCAGCCCACTAGAACAATTTTGGGAATTAGCTATTGCCAAGAATTGCATTGAGTTTTACATACCTTAATCCATTTCTTCCACCAACTATGCCAGGATTTTAGTACTTCTACAAAGAAGCTAGGGTTTAGAGACAGTTTTAATAAATAATCCATAAATAAGTGGAAAAACAATGTTTGAGGTCTGACTTGAAATTTAATATACTTTCAAGAATTACAATTATTATTACCAAAATTTATTAATTCATCTATAAAGGCTAAGTGATAAGAAATTGGAATATTTAAATAACTTGGTGTTTGGAAATATGAAAAATCAGTATTTTTTGATTAAAATGGTAATGTCTCAGGTATAAATTCTACTATATTCTTCATTTTTCTTTTGAAAGATTTATTATTTGTGTGTGTGTGCGTGCGTGTGCATGTGTGTGTGTGTGTGTGTGTGTGTGCACATGCCACATGTGGACTCCTAGGACTGTGGAGTTGTTTTCACCTTCACATGGGTTCTGGAGGCTAAAGTCAGGTCTCCAGGCCAAGTGCTTTTACCTGCTGAGCTATCCCTACAGTCTAAATTTGCATATATATATATATATATATATATATATATGGCTCTGGGTGTGGTGGTGCACTTCTTTAATCCCAGCACTTGGCAGAGATAGGTGGATTTCTGTGACATCAAGGCCAGCCTGGACTACATAAAGAGTCCCAGGCCAGCTGGAGCTACAGGAAAAATCTGTCTCAAACCCTCCTCCACCCCCCCCAAAACACCCAAACAAAACTCACCAGGTTTGGTGGCACAAACCTTTAACCCCAGCATTAAGGAGGCAGATGCAGGAGGATCTCTGTGAGTTCAAAGTAAACCTGGTCTACACAGCAAGTTTCAGGCCAGGGTTGCATAGTGAGACTCTGTGTCAAAAAAAAATTCCATTTAATTTTTTTCATTGTTTTTTGATACAGGGTCTTGCTATGTATCTCAGGCTGGTCTTGAACTTACTATATAGTCTTGAGTAGTTTCAAACTCATGGTAATCCTCCTGCTTCAGCCTCCAAGGTGCTAGGATTACAGGTGTGCACTACCATACCTGGTTTTACATTGTAATTTTATCAAATCGGTATGATTTGATAATCATTCTTTCAAGAAGTCTGCCACATTTTTCCCCTTCAGGTTTTATTCTGAAAGTGTCTAGCACTGCTGAAGTAAACAAAACAGTGAGAATTGGACCAGAGAATGGAAAATGCCTATGTCACTCCAACGGATGGGTATTATCTTGCAGAACCCATGCAGTACTATGGTATGTAATAATAATAATAAAAAAACCTACAATATAATTGTGAACAAATTTTGTGTGGGGGAATTGTGATTAATTACAGCGATTTAACAAAAAAATTAATAAAAAACCAATGACTTTAAATTACTTTTTATGGGAGAAAATAATTTTAAAAACCAGTAATATATTGTAAATCAAAATCAAATGGAAAGAAAGGCACAGTAGTTTAAAATTGTGTGAGATAAAAAAAGGATTAATATGCAAATTTGAAGTTCTTTTCAAGGATTAACTGAGGCAGATCTTTATGCAATTTAGTAAATGTACTTTACAAATAGCTATACTTGAAATTTTAATCTTAATAGAAGTTTTATAAAATGAAAATAAATGGAAAAAAAGAATTCAGGCGACACTAGAAATTTCCTACAGAAGGATAAGGCAATCATATAAATTTAATCTTACATACAATTAAAAAAATTTTTTTTGAGACAGGGTATCCTTGTAGGCCCTGGAACTTGCTGTGTAGGCCAGGCTGGCCTCAATCTCACAGAGTTCCTTCCACTTTGCCTCTGCCTCCCAGTCCTGGAATTAAAGGTACATGCCACCACATCTAGCATACATACAACTTTTTTTTTTTTTGGTCTTTTTGAGTCAGGGTTTCCCTGTAGCCCCAGCTGGCCTGGAACTCACTATGTAGACCAGGCTGGCCTTGAATTCACAGAGATCTGCCTGCCTCTGCCTCCTGAGTGCTGGGATTAAAGGTGTGTGCCACCATGCCCAGCTACATACAGCTTTTTAACAATAATTTAAACTCCTTTACATGGTATGAAAAAGAGGTAGTTAAAGGGGCTCCAGTAAAAGACCCTTCTTTTTTTTTTTTTTTTTTTTAAATTCATTCTATAAATGTTACTGCTAACATTTTTCTTTTATTTGTTGTGTTTTCTACAAAACTGGAGATCGAACCCAGGGCCTTGTGCATGCTGGGCAAGTACTTTACTCCTGAGTTATGGCAATATTTTTCTTTTCTTTTTTAAAATATTTTATTTATTATTTTTATGTGTATGTGTGTATTGCCTGCATGTAGGTAAGTGCACCCATGTTGTGCAATGCCCACAGAGGACAGAAGAGGCTGTCGGATCCCCTGGAACTGGAGTTACAGACAGTTGTTAGCTGCCATGTGGGTTCTGGGATTCGAACCTGGGTCTTCTGTAAGAACAGCCAGTGTTCTTAACTGCTGAGCCATCTCTCCAGTCCTAGCAATATTTTTCTTATATCAGGCTATTTGGTATTTCTTCAATACTGCATTGGTGTTGGATGTATGATTGTAAATGACTTACGTCAACTAATAAAAATCATCCTGCTTACTGATCTTGAGGGTAGAATTTTGAAGATAATTTTAAATCTAATCATCTGGTGACAACATTGGGAAAAGTACAATGAACAGTTGCTCACATCAAGCATCTAGTATTTCTGGGTTCTTTTGGAATCAATATTTTGAATTTAAGTTTGGTAATTATCTTGTAAGTAGGACATAAGCTGTCACTTGGGAGCTTCTGGTAATTGTGATAGTAATACCTCATGTGCCATTTTATAGTTTTTAATGTACTTTTTAAATAATTATTGTGTGTATTATATGTGTGAGTGTGGGTGATTTTGTGCTACAGCAAGTATGTGGAAGTCAGAGGTCAACTTTCAGGAGCAAGTCCTCTCCTTCTACTTTGTTTTTGAGGCAGGATCTCACTCACCTTTTCTGCCAGGCTGCATCCTCCAGGCAAGCTGATCCCCGAGATTCTGGGGATTCTTGTCCCTGCCTCCCATGTCACTGAGAGAGTGCTGGGATTGCAGATACATACCACTGCATCTGGCTTGAAGTGGGCTCTGGGTATTGAACTCAAGTCATCAGGCTTTTACTAGCTGAGCCATTTCAAGGCCTCCAATAAGTGCTTTTTAAGAATCACATGTGTGTGAGTGCAGGCATTCGTGTAGAAGTCTGAGGACAATCTTGAATGTTAGCCCTCACTTTCCATCTTGTTTGCCTTTTTGGGCATTGCTATTTTGTGTCCCCCTTGCTAGAGGAGTGCTGGGAGTACAGATACTCATTTCCGGTCCAGTTTATGTGGGTTCTGAGATCAGAGCTCAGATCCTCGTGCTTACACAGCAAGGGCTTTAGCCCACTAAACCATCATCCCATTCCCACTTGTGTGTTAAAAACTATCTTATTTCATTTTATTTTTATAATAACCCTTTGAGAAAGATAAATCAATCTCTATATAAACAACAAAACAAGAAAGTAACAGATCAGGCTACAAATTTTAAAAGAGTAGTAACACATTACATGAGAAGTTCAAACAAAAGGTCAGGATATTTTTGTTGTCGCTGTTGTTTGAAAAGTGTGTTTTTTTTCTTTTGGGGTGAGATAATTTGTTAATTCATATTATTTATGACTTTACTAAAAACAGTTGTAGCTGTTTAGAGATCATGGCTCAAGAGATGCATGGAGTTGAATCATCCTTTAGGCACAAGGATTTTTAGAGCTGACAACACGGTATAATCTGAAGTTAAGTTCAGCAGGCCTAAGACACATGTTCTTTTAAGGTCCCTTATGGGGAAGTAGGGAGGAGGGGCTGTGCCTGAGGACAGAATCAAAAGTAAGGGGGTCAAAAGTTGGTTGACATGACCAAGTTAGGGTAAGAGGCACTATCTTTTTCTGGCTAGGGGGACTGTGGAAGATTTCCCCAGGAAGCAGGCCTAGATAAACTGACTTGAGCCATGGCAGTGGTCAGCCTGACTCTGGACCTGGGCTGGGAAGCTGGATGCGTTCTTACTGTGCTTTCAGCCTTCTCCAAAAATTTAGGGCTTTGATACCTGGAAGGTCTGTTTCCAGGAGGGACAAGCTCCCCACTTACATGCTATGGCAGTAACTACAACAAGGAAATTGCAGAATATAGGGAAAAAACCTTCAGTTCAAAATATGGGAAATACATTTCCTTAAGGAGAGAGACTAGATTGGCATAGGAGCCTCTGTTGCCCTTTTTTCTGGCTCCCGACCTGCTGCTGCACACCTCTGGGGTTGTAGCATATATCAGGTATTGAGTTCCATTTACTGTGTGCCCATTATGCAAGTTCCAAGATGTAGTGGACATATTGAGAATAACAACTTTGAAATTTGAAAACAGTTATGAACTTTTGACTTTTTTAACCATTTATTCTTTTTTATGTTAATAAAACTAGATATTTTACCTGAACAAATCCATTATCAATCATCTGACACTGATTTTCAAGAATCACCTTATTGCCAGTATTCTACTGCTCAGTTCCCTCCAACATTACAGCCCCAATCGTTGCAAAGCCATTTCAACACATATAGCTTGGATTCACAGTACAGTGGTGGCGGATGGTTCGGACTTGATTCTTGTGAATTAAATCAATCCACTTATGTGGTTGTTCATGATGCTGAAGATGGATACCCTGAGATGCAAATGTCCAGACCAATCTGTTCTTCACGCTGGAAGGGACAAGGAGAGCTCTGTGTGGTCTGTGGTGACAAGGCATCAGGATATCACTATAACGCACTTACTTGTGAAGGTTGCAAAGGTAAGGACAAAGTTAAACAAAACTGATAAGGCCAGGCATGGTATGTATGCCTTTAATCCCAGCACCCAAAAAGCAGAGGCAGGCAGATCTCTGTGAGATCAAGGCCAGTCTGGTCTACATAGCAAGTTCCAGGCCAGCTGGGGCTACAAGGGGACCCTGTCTCAAAAAAAAACCAAAACAAAAAAAACCTCAGCACAACAACAAAACAAAAACTCATAAAAACGTCCCCTCAAAAGAAAAAACTAAAACAAAAACACAAAACAAAACAAAACTGATAGCTTAGCTGGAGAGTCACAACATTTCAGACGTGTAAAAATATGTTTTTAAAGTATGAGAAAAAATTAGGGAGAAGCATGTTCAGAGGGATCAATCTGTGTGATCAAAGATGTGAGAATAAAATGTAAAGTTTATTCAGTTTTTTTTTTCCTTTTTTGATGAGGACTTTCACATTCAAGTACAAAATTCAATATGAACAAAGCAAGCAAAAGGTTTTCCTATAGAATTTAATGTAGGAACAAAAATGACTTTAAAAAAGATCTGAATGTTAATTAGTATATCGAGAGAGAGAGAGAGAGAGAGAGAGAGAGAGAGAGAGAGCATGCGCATCCCTGTGCAAAGATCTTTACTGAGCAGTTCCTTCTAGGGTGGGATGACCTGCAGCCACAGGCCTGCAGCCAGGCACTGCACTGCCCTGCCTGACATCTCGGCTTGAACTCAGCATGACATAGATTGTCCATGGTCAGCAGAACAGGAGTGTGGGCTCCAGCAGCCACTTCCACAGGGGCACATTGTTGAGAAGCTTTTTGATCAGGTCCATGTGTGCTAGCAGCATGCAAAGGCAGCAGTAAGTATACCAGGCCTGCTGCAGCCCCAGACTTTCCACTTGTTGCCAATGTTTTTCTCCTAGTTTTGTTTTAAACTGGGAAACCTGTTTATTTATTTATTTATTTTTTATATATTTAAAAATATGTTATTTATTATTTTTTTCTATGTGCATGAGTGTATTGCCTGCATGTATGTGGATGCACCTGTGTTGAGCAATGCCGCAGAGGTCAGAAGAGGGCTTCGGATTCCCCTGGAACTGGAGTCAAGGATGGTTCGTATCCGCCATGTGGGTGCTGGGAATTGAACCCGGGTCCTCTTCAAGAGCAGTCAGTGCTCTCAACTGCGGAGCCATCTCGCCAGGCCCAGAAACCTGTTTTTTAAAGGGAACTTGAGAGACGCTTTGTGAGATTTTGGTATTTTGTAAAATATAGTATTAAAATGCTAATAAATAATTTACCTGTAGTAGAGCAGGGAGCTGTCTTAATGTAATAAGGCCATTTCAGATATGATTATTGAATTAACCTCTGGGTGAAATATATCAATTAGGAAAGGATTACATAACTTTCCAGATAAATGTATGTTAAAAAAACTCTATTAAGGAACAAACTCTCATTTTATTGAAATAATCTAATTGACTTGTTTACTTTAAGGTGCATAATAAAAATGAAAAAATAACTAAAAATACCAATGCTAAACTCTGAAAAATGTTGTTATTAGGTTTTTTCCGACGTAGCATCACCAAAAATGCAATATATAGTTGCAAGAATGGTGGTCATTGTGAAATGGATATGTACATGCGCAGAAAATGTCAAGAGTGCAGACTGAAAAAGTGTAAGGCAGTGGGGATGCTGGCGGAATGTAAGTGCAATTTGTTTGTGATTTTGTTTTGTTTTCTGAAGGGGATTTTAAACTTTTCCAACCTTACTGAGTACTTAAAGCTTTCTTCAAGTGTCATTTTGAACACTGACGTATTTGTTTGGGTTACATAGACTTAGCAATTACCACTCTAACTAGCTATTTCCATAAACATTACTCTGTGCTATAGTGCTGTAATTTTGGAATCAATCATGTTTTCATCTTCATTAGTTCTTGTATTTTCACATTACTTAATCTAAAGTTATATAATGTATTAATAAGGAGCAAAATTTAAAGTTCATAGTTTCCAAAAGCTCACCTGATATCTAGGTATATGAAGCCTTCTAACAGTTGACACATGGGTCAGTTAGTCTCTGTCTCTAAAAACTATCACATTTGGGGTTTGGGGTTAGGGCTTCAATATATGAAGTTTGGGAGACACAATTCAGTAAATAGCAGTCCCTGAAAGTGTTGTCTTTTATTTTATTTTTGAGTCAGGTTCGCTATGTACCCTGGCTGTCTTGAACTCGATATGCAGACCAGGCCTCACAGAGATCTGCCTGCCTCTGCCTCCCAAGTGCTGGGATTAAGGGCATGTCCTATCATGTACACCTAAAAAGTTGGCTTTTATCCTACTGCAGAAAACATCTGTGAAAGGGAACTCAGGGTCTTCTGAGGTATTCTATAAATAAAATGAGCCACCCTGTAACATAAAGGAATTATGCCAGGGCAAAATAAAAGAACTGGTAAGAGTGTTATTTTTGTGGTTGGTGCATAAATAGCATCCAAATGTCATTCTCTTGTGTCCAGATTCCTGCCATCCTTGCTGCAGATTTTCATATTACACTCACCCTTAACTTATCCTAATACTGTAATGTCAGTACTGACATGTTTTAATTGCCTTCATGTTTTTTCATGTTCTTGTTCTTTGACAAATAAATCATTTAGAAGAGGCCAAGGCTGTGGTTTTGCCCTATACTTCAGCTCTTTCTTTATTTTTATACAATCTATATTGTTTATACTTATGAAAATGGTAGCTCTATTAATATTTGGATAATTGTAGGAGTGATTTACGGTAACTACTTCTGTTCTAGTAAAGGTACCAGTTTAAGATTTAAAAACTTTATAAAAGGAACAATCCCCAAATAAAACTTTTTCACATTATAAAAAAGAGTATCATTGCCTTGCCTGGTTCATAGGAAAAGTTGACTAAGATTATTTTTAAAATCACAAGATCAACTCTCTTGACTTTATGATATAAAAATCACTGGTAAAAGTTATAGATATGGTAGCTCTACTTTCTTTACCAAGAGATATTCTATATTGCTTCCAAGAAACAATTAGTGTGGAGATTTCTTACATAAAAATGTAAACATAATTTGGAAATGCAAAATTTCTATTTTTATTTTTTGTTTGGGGTAAATGTATTTTCAAGCAGACAAGGTAGCTATGGAAGGAAAAACACAAAGAAACATAGGAACCTTTTTTTTGTCTCCCTGTAGGCCCAGGTGGCCTGGAACTCACTATGTAGACCAGGCTGGCCTTGAACTTACAGAGATCTGCCTGCCTCTGTCTCCTGGGTGCTGGGATTAAAGACATATACCACCATGCCCATTGAAATATAGGAAATTTAATTGATATGCACATGCACAGGGCAAGTCTATGATCATTTAAGGCATGATCTATGATCATTTAAGTCTATAATGCGCTTAAGGCATTTTTTCACTAAATCCTATGATGTTATTTGCTGTGTCAAAACCACTTTGTGTGAATTTTGTAATATCACAGGTTTGCTCACAGAAATCCAATGTAAATCAAAGAGACTTAGAAAGAGCTTGAAGGCGAAGAGTTCTTTTCACTCTGACGTCAAAGTGGAAGAAGAAGGAGCAGACAGCAAACTTGTATCATCCACCACGAGATCTGGAAAAGCGGCAAGACTTTTCTTCTTGAGCAGTCTTTTGTTTCTTTAACAATACCTTGTTTAATAGGCATACTTTACAGATTCTGCTCTGCTTCCTTACAGACTCAGCAAAACCTGGAGCTAACTCAAGAGGAGCATCATCTTATCAGTAACATAGTGGCTGCTCATCAAAAATATATGATTCCTTTAGGGGAAACAAATAAACTTGTATGTATTCATTACTGGCAAGAAAGAATTTACAATTAATTATATTAGGAAAAAACAGCAATAACAGTTAAAACTTCAATAATCTGAAAGAAAAGAATAGTTATTAATTTTATTTCTTTTTATGGATTAGGTGCAGGAATATGCCAGCCCTCAATTAAGTTTTTTGAGATTCTCAGAGACAGCAGTCCTATACATTCGTGGGCTAATGAATTTTACCAAGGGACTCCCAGGTAAAATTTTTTGTTTTATTATTTTATAATTAATTTTTTATTTACTTTTATTTTATATGTATGAGTGTTTTGCCTGCATGTATATGTGCAATGCCTATGGAGGTCAGAAAAGGACATTTGATTTCCTGGAACTGGGGTAATAGACAGTTGTGAGCTGCCTTGTGGGTGCTGGGAACCAAACCCAGATCAGTCAGTGTTCTTAACCTCTGACTCATCTCTCCAGCCTCAAATTCTTTAGTTTAAACAAAAGGGACATTATAATAAAATAAAAAAACCTTTCATTTGGGGGCTGCATATATAGCTCAGTGGTAGAGTGCTTGCCTAGCATGTGTGAGGCCCTGGGTTCAATAGCAAAACCTCTATTTTCTACCAATGCTACTTCTGGCTACAGAAACATATTTATTTTGTTTACTTCAATTAATCAGGTAGATGGAAAAACTGAATATTTAAAAGCATTATTATAATGACCTTTTTTTTTTTAATGGACAAGGAAACAAAATTTCCTCTATAATACCAAAAACAAGCCATGGTTGACCAAAACATGTATTTACAAGTACAGGGAGATAACTCAGTTCCATTACATATTTATACGTACATGTAACTCATTTTAAAAACACATTCAAGGCTAAATCAACCATGTTTAATTTGTCCTTGACATAAGAAAAGTATTACCTAGTACTGATGAAAGTGCCCTAAAATTTTACACTTTTACACTGTAAAAGAATTTTATTCAGATTTGAATTTACATACTTTGGTTATTCCCAGGAAGCATTTAGGATTGATAAATAAATAAACAATTTACAGTATTGACTACCTGAACATTATCTTCTCATTATCTATTTCTTCACATTCTTTTTTTAAAGGATTTGAAACTTTGACCAATGAGGATCAGACTGCATTACAGCAAGAGTCAAAAACAGAAGTGGCATTCCTTCACGTAGCCCAGCTTTACAGTCGGAGAGAATCAATCTTCAAAAGTAAAAAAAGACTTGCTTTTAGCTTTAATATAGTTATATTAAATTTAACAACAAATTACATAACATTAAACACACACACCCATATATATATATTTTTACACACACATATCCAGGTTCCACATTTTTAAGTACTTTGTTTTTGAGCTAGGATCTCATGTAGTCCAGGTTAGCCTAGAATTATTATTATTATTATTATTATTTTGGTCCTTTTTGAGATGGTCTCCCTGTAGCCCCAGCTGACCTGGAACTCACTATGTAGACCAGGCTGACCTTGAGCTCACAGAGATATGCCTGCCTCCTAAATTCTGGGAGTAAGGCATGCATCACCATGCCTGGCACCTAGAATTATTTTTAAAAAAATTTTATTGGGGCTGGAGAGATGGCTTAGCGGTTAGGAGCACTGACTACTCTTGCAGAGGACTCAGGTTCGATTCCCAGCACCCACATGGCGGCTACGAACTGTCCTTAACTCCAGTTCCAGGGGAAATTGAAGCCCTCCTCTGACCTCCGCAACATTGCACAACACGGGTGCACTCACATACATGCAGGCCATACACTCATACACATAAAATAAATAAATAAATAAAATATGTAAAATTTTTAAATTATTATTTTATGTGTATGAGTGTATTGCCAGCATGTATGTAAGTGTATCTGTGCCATGCAATGCCCTTGGAGGTCAGAAGAGGGAGCTGAATCCCCTGGAGGTGGAGTTGTTAGCCACTATGTGGGTGCTGGGAATCAAACCCAGGTCCTCTGCAAGAGCAGCCAATGTTGTTAACTGCTGAGCCATCTCTCCAGCCTCCCGTAGTTGTGGGATGTTGTAATAGTCTCCATCTGTTATAATAAGAAGCTTCTCTGATGAGTAGTGAGAGGCACACTTGTCTGTAAATATAAGGATACATACTTAATGCCCATTCAATAGGAGGGAATTCATGCATGGTACTGTAACACATAGCCAAGTACACATAGTTGGAGAAATCATAAACCCTAGAGAAGAACCCATTTCTGCCACTTACCTAAACCACTGCAATTTCTTACTGTAGTCTAAATATGATCCTTGTATTTACAGACAAGTGAACCTGCCACTACTCATCAAAGAAACTTCGTTTTTTAATAGATGCAGACTATCTTGAAAAATTTTAAATCTTTTTGAGACAGGGTCTCCCCGTAGCACCAGCTGGCCTGAAACTCGCTATGTAGACCAGGCTAGCCTCAATCTTACTGAATATCCCCTGCTTAAAGGCCTGCATCACCACGTCTGGTGTATTTTGAATTTTGATCATATTCACTTCTCTCCACCCCTCCTTCAGGATCACCCCACATTCCCCTCCCAACTTCATCATCTCTTTTCTTCCTCCTTTTGTTTTCCTTTAAATAAATAACCCACTGAGTCTAATTTGTGCTGCCCATGTGTGACTGGGTACAGGGCCATCCAGTGGAGCATCGCAAACTTACTAGGGTCCCCTCCCCAAAATACTGACTCTTCCTCCCCTAGCAGGCTTCAACTGTCAATAACTCTTCAGCTAGGGGTGGGGGCTGGTATGCCTCCAAGACAGTCATGCAAGCATGTCTTTTTTTTTTTTTTTTTTTTTGAGACAGGGTCTCACTATGTAACCCTGGCTAGCCTGAAACTCACTATGTAGACCAGGCTGGCCTCAAACTCACAGAGATCTGCTTACCTCTACCTTCCAAGTTCTGGGATTAAATGTGTACCACCATGCCCATCAGACAGGTATTCTTATTAGGAGGATTTTAGTGGATGTTTAAACACTAAGGAGGTGATGATTCTATAATATAGTATTGAAGAGGTCAGATGAGGGAATCAGATCCCCTGGAGCTAGACTTATAGATGGCTGTTAGCTGCCATGTAGGTGTTGGGAACCAAACCCATATCCTCTGCAAGAGCAGCCAGTGTTCTTAACTACTGAGCCATCTTAGCCCCAGAAGCAGATTAATAAATTTATTTATTATTTTTATTTTACATGTATGAGTGTATTTCTTGCATGTATGTAAGTGCATCCATGTCATGCAATGCCCACAGAAATCAGAAAGCTTCAGATCCCCTGGAACTGGAGTTACAGATGGTCATTAGTTGCCATATGGGTTCTGGGAAATGAACCCAGGTCCTCTGCAAAAGCAGCCAGTGCTCTTAACCAGTGAGCCATCTTTCCAGTCTCAGGAGCCAATTTTTTTTTAAACCAATATTTTCATCAAAGTAGTTTTTAAAAATTTTTCTAAACCCTTAGAATAGAGCAGGAAACCCATCATTGTTCTAGTGTGTGAATACAATAGGTTAAGCCATGAAGTTATATGTTGACTAAGGATGTAGGAAGAAACAAAATGGCATCTTGCCAGTGATGCCAGCTGCCTTTACTAACTGTACTTGCTACAATGAATAACCATCTGTTTTGTTTGCTTATTCATTGGCTGCTCTTCCCTGCCCATACTAGTCTGGAAGGTTGCTAAAGACTAGGTAGGCCCTTGATTCATGATTGCTTTAATAGTGGTTCTATAAGAGGCTCCTCCATAGCATAGCCACTGATGAGGCAGAGGTGATGCATGGATGGTGTGTGTGTGTGTGTGTGTGTGTGAGTGTGTGTGTGTGTCTAAGAAAGTCATTCTTTATAGTATCATGGAAAACTCATTTTTGGAGGGTCTTCTCTACTATATAAAAAGAACTTTTTTTTTTTAATAAGCCAGGCATGGTGGCGCACGCCTGTAGTCCCAGCACTTGGGAGGCAGAGGCAGGTGGATCTCTGTAAGTTCAAGGCCAGCCTGGTCTACATAGTGAGTTCCAGGACAGCTGGGGCTACAGGGAGACCCTGTCTCAAAAAGACCAAAAAAAAAAAAAAAAAACAAAAAAACTATTAATCTAGCTTTATGTTTCAGTAATAAAAATTGTAAAGGTATCTTTCATTTTATTTTTTTGAGGCAGGGTCTCATTATGCAGCCTTGGTTGACCTAGAACTTGCTATGTAGTCCAGGCTGTCCTTGAACTCACAGAGTTCCACCTGCCTCTACTGTGATTAAAGGCAAGTGCCACCAGACCTGGCTAAGCTGTCATTTTTGTGGAATGTTTCTCATCTAAAAGTTATGCTTGGTTCTGAAATAGATTGAATTTATTATCCATATAAAGATTAGAAAAAAATCAAACTTTATTCTTTTTTCTTTAATAGGTAATATGAGAATGTCAAAACACTCAGCTCATATACTGAATACCCATAATCATAGTGGTGATAAAAATATTGCTTATTCTTTGGAAAGCTTTTGCAAGAATGACTATCCTTCTGCTACTCTAACTGGTAATTATTGTGCATACAAAATATTATACTGAATGGAGATGTCTTATTTTCTCCCCTCTTCAAAAGGTGCCCAATTTTATTACAGGGAGCAAACAAAACCCTTCCCATGTAGAAGAAAATCCTTTCTCTTTTCCAGGGTGATGAATGTGCCTCTTGGTCCGTTTGTAGGCTTACCTGTTAGGGTGCTTCTGTATTGGTTAAAGAATTTGTAGGGATGGCTGATTCATTTGTTAATGCTGTGCAGATCACCAATGAGCACTCTACTTCTTTGAAAATTTAATTTTTTCCCCACCCCACCCCCCTTAAAATTTAATAATTTTTTTGAGACTTTCATGCATGAGTACTGTATTTCCATCATTTCCACTCCTCCCTCTATTTCCTCCAGCTCTTCCCATGTGCCTCCACTCCGTCTCAAGTTCGTGACTTCTATACTTTTGATTGTTATACATATACATATATATGTATTATTGTTGCAGGCACATATATGCATATAGTATATCTATGTACACACAATCCACTGAGCCCATTAAAATTGCTCTTATATGTGTATTTATGGATGACCACTTGAGACTGGATAACACATCAGGAGCCTCATCCTGGAGAAGACTGAGGATTCTATATAACCATTTTCTTCATTTGGCTATATCGCTGCAATTCATTCTCTATTTATTCATTTTTGTTTTTTTTTTTGAGACAGTAACTTCCTGTAGCCCCGGCTGGCCTGGAACACACTATGTAGACCAGGTTGGCCTTGATCTCACAGAGATCTGCCTGTCTCTGCCTCCAGAGTGCTGGATTTAAAGGCCCATGCCAACCAAACCTGGCTCTTATTTCATATTTAGATGAAAAGCCATATGGGGCCTCTGAGTCATTCTTTGGGATGCTTTTCAAAGGTTCCCAGGATGCTGATGTTGTCATATACTCCCAACAGAACCCTCTTTTCATCCCAGTAGCAACCACTGCTTTGGGCAAAAGTATGGGCTTTTCACTGGGCAATCCAGGAACACCAAGAAAGAAGCTCAGCAGGCCAAAGGCACTCAGTCTCAGAGCCTCCTACTTGGTTCAAACTGCATTGCTCTGATTTTTCTCTCCATAGCACACCAAAAATGAGCAGAGAGTGAGGATCAGGCATGGCCTTCCAGTGTATGACAAGAGGAACCGGGTGGCCCTCACACAGGCAGCCACCCCGAGCTTCACCCTTGTTTCCTTTTCCTTATACTATTTTGATTAAAAGAAAAAGATAATTATGGGGCTGGAGAGATGGCTCAATGGTTAAGAACACTGGTTGTTCTTGCAGAAGATCTGGGTTCGAATCCCAGCACCCACATGGCAACTAATAACTGTCCTTAACTCCAGTCCCACGGGATCAGACAGCCTCTTGGGATCTCTGCAGGCATTTCACTGCTCGGGTGCTCTTACCTACATGCAGGCTATACATGCATACACATAAAATAAAAATAATAAATAAAATTTTAAAAAGTTTTAAAAAAGATAATTACTATGTGTTTGATTCTGCCGATGTTCTGATGAAAATACACTTATATTAAATCTTTTTAGGTATTACTAGAGAATTTATTGCCTCACTGTTTTACTTCTACAGAAGAATGAATGAACTTAGCATAACTGATACTGAATACGCCCTGCTTACAGCAACGACTGTGCTTTTCTCAGGTAAAAACCATCAGCAGTGAGACTCTGGATGAGATTTGGGAATGGGATGCCAGATGGAGCTCTTGGTTATTAAATTATTAGCTGTAGCCAAATGAACCAATTTTGTTTCATCATAGTGTCCTTCTCTATGAAAATTCCTTTAAGCCCGTGACTGTGTTGTAGTTTCTTGCATCTTAAAAAAAAAAGCCTTTTTGGGGCTAGAGAGATGGTGCAGCAGTTAAGAGCTGACTGCTTTTGCAGAGGACCTGGGTTCGATTCCCAGCACCCACATGGCGGCTACGAACCGTCCTTAACTTCGGTTCCAGGGGAATCCGACGCCCTCTTCTGACCTCCGCGGCATTGCACGACACGGGTGCGCTCACATACATGCAGGCAATACACTCGTACACATAAAGTAAAAAATAATAAAGAAAATATTTTTAAAAATCCTTCTTAGCTGGGCGTGTTGGTGCACACCTGCAGTCCCAGCACTTGGGAGGCAGAGGCAGGCGGATCTCTGTGAGTTTAAGGCCAGCCTGGTCTACATAGTGAGTTCCAGGACAGCTGGGGCTACAGGGAGACCCTGTCTCAGAAAAAAAAAAAAGAAAAAAGAAAAAAAAAAGAAAGAAAAAGCCTTCTTGATATTACAGCCCATTTTCTATGTGCTCCCAAGTCTTCAATCCACTTTATAGAACACATTTCTTTAAAGCCTTATCTATACCCCAGTCTCTTTTACTCCTCCTCCTCCTCTTACACTCTCCTGAATTCTCTGCACTCAGATTTTGTTCCATCCTCTCCACTCCAACATAATTTGTCAGTGTCTTCAGGATTTTGACACTGCTGATTCCAGTGGACCATTACTTGACCCATCAGCTGCATTTCACAGAGAATGTTACATGTGCTTTTTTAAAACTGGTGTTTTTAAACAACACTTTCATCACTTATCTTCAGTTGATCCTTGTTTGAACCTTTTTTCCAGAAAAAATTACATTGTGTGTGTGTACCATAGTACATGTGTGGGGATCAGAGGACAGTTAGGGAAGTTGGTTCTCTCCTTCTACCATGTGGGTTCTGGGGATTTAACTCAGGCCATCAGGCTGAGTGAAGGTGGCAAGCGTCTTGACCTGCTGAGCATCTCATGGCCCTGACATATTTTTTCTTTCACTTGATTTCCAGAACACCATCTTCCCTCGATTTCCCCTGTTTATAAGCTGTTCTTTTTGTGTTTCTTTTGTTCATCGTCCTTCATCTTTCAGTCACAAATATGAGTGTGCCCTAGGGCTCTGCTTTCTTCTGCATTCATTCCTTTGTGATCTCATCTATCTCACAGCTTTAAAGCCCGTACTTATGCTTGCCACTCCCACACTTAAATACTGATGTGGCGTCTCCCCCAGAGTCCATTAAATTGCCTCTTCAAGATTTTGATTTGGATGTCTATCAGGCATATGAAACTTAAAATGCCCTAAATGAACTCCTGAAATCCCTCTACCCCATTCTTTTATAACTTTTCCTCTATCTCAACTAAACGATGTATCTATCTTTCAAATTGCATGCACCAAAATTGTTTTAAAAAGCTTTAACTTTTTTCTTTATCCTATAACCATTTCAAATATGTAACAAATCTGTTGGCTCAACCCTTAAAACATACCTAGCGCTTAATCATTTTTTACTGTTTCTAGCCCAATCAGCCTAATTGAATTAATTTTTCTAACTAGCTTTTCTGATTCTGTCCTTGGCCTCTCTAGAGTCTATTCTCTGTATTAGTAGCCAGACAAATTCTTTAAATGTAAGTCAGGTCATGTCATTCCTCTGTTCATACCCTCCAATGGCTTCCTATTTTACATAGATTAAAGCCAAAGTTCTTTCTATTATTGTCTACTATTATTCCTTTTTCTTACCCCACTCCAGCCACACTGCTTTTGACATAGATGTCCCAAGAGCATTTTAAGCAGGCTCTTGCTACAGATTCCATGGTTCTTTCATACATCTTTTGCCTGGAACACTATTTTTGCTCAGATACTCACATGATACCCTCCTTCACCATCTTGGGTCTGAGCTAAATGACATTGCATCTCTGATTAGTCTTTTAAAATAGCTACCACCCGTCCACCCTAGATTCTCTTTCCCTATTTACTTTCCTCTATAGCACATCACTGTTAAATTCTTGCTTTGTCCAGAAGAAAACTGAACCCCGATACTTTCTAATATTTATCATTGTGAAATGAAGAACAATGAACAAAGGAGACACAAAACGAACAGCTAACAGGGAAACTCAAGAGAGGACGATATTCTTCTTAGGTTTCTGTAGAAGCCTACCTTGAGCCATCTCATGGCCCTGACATCTTTTTTGTTTCGCTTGATGTCCAGAATTTGCACTTTACTTCCTATTGACTTTGGGAAATGGCTTAATATTTTAAAGTTTCAAGCACTGTGTTGGCTGCTATTATATTCTTAAATTTACTTATTGACCTTTCCCTTCATGCACAACTTTATGGAAATTTCTTAATTCCTTGTTTCAGAAAGCTCATCTGCAAAATGGTGAGAAATTCAATTTATTTCATAGACTATTGTGAAGATTAAATAAAATAATGAATGAAGACAATTAGCAAATCTAGCATGTATTAAGGCTTCTCTAAGTATTTATAAGATTTAATAACTACATTGTGTTAATGAACTCATTGCTTCTACCACTTCATAGTATGCTTTAAGATAAATATGTTTTTCAGATCGTCCATGTCTTAAAAATAAGCAACATGTAGAAAATTTACAAGAACCAGTTCTACAAATTTTATTTAAATATTCAAAAATGCATCATCCAGATGACCCGCAGCACTTTGCGCATCTCATAGGGAGGCTTACTGAACTAAGAACTCTGAGTCACAGCCACTCAGAAATCCTCAGCACCTGGACAACACAGGACCCTAGACTGGCTACGTTATTCTCTGAGAAATGGAACTGGTATTCACATTGCTGAAATTTTAGAATGTTGTGGTTTGCCTTGAATTTTCTAAATCTAAATTGGATAACTGACTTGCAAAACATGACAGGACTGCTGTGCTACCAATATATCACTGACATCAGAAGGCTCAACACATTTTGTGGAGCATCAGCCTCTCAGTAAATGGACACTGAAGATTCTTTTCAAGATTGGATGAAAAAGAAACAATAGAGCCAATGTTCTGGCACAATTCCTGTACTTGGGAGACTGAGGCAGGTGGATCATGAGTTTGAGACCATCCTGGGCTGTGTAGCAGGATCCTGTCTCAGAAAAAAGATTTAAAAAAATGAGAGCAATGGCTATTGCTTTTACTAAAGAATCCTCACATGAAGAAACTCCATTTTTTTCATTTTACTGAAAACATATAATGTAGACATATGAAAAGAATGTTAGCTAGAGGAAGAATTTGTACTTAGAAGGCAGTTTGCATACCTCATTGATTAAGGCCAGGTTGATGGATTAAGAAGTTAATGTTCAGAACCTTTTCCTATTATAGCACTTCATGAATGATTAAAGGAAAAAAACTCTTAAATTATATTTTTTTGCATTTTAACTAGTATATTCCAATTATACATAATGATGGTTTCATTATGAAATTCAGACATGTATATAAGATGGTTGTATTTTCCACCTAGCCCCCACCACTCACCTGCTGCTGCTGCCCTTCTTGTCCTCTGATAGTCTTCTTTCCACTTTCATGTCTTTAAAAATGATAGATTCACACATCTGAGAAAACACTTGAACTTGGCCTGAGTCAGGTTTATTTCACTTAACATGATGACCTCCAGTTCTATTTTTTTTCTGCAAAATTACATAATTTCATTCTATCTAATGATTGAATAATAGTGTGTGTGTAACACATTTTACCCATCTACCTTCTGTTGATGTGTATCTAGACTGATTCTATATCATATTTATTGTGAATGGTGCTGCAATAAACATGACCCTAGGTATCACTATTTTATGTGACTCTTGATTCCTTCAGATATGTCCCCAGGAGGGGTTTGGCTGGACCATATGGTGGTTCTGTTTTGAGTTTTGGAGGAAACTACATAGTGATTCCCTTGGTGACTGCCTTCTCAAGGTGTGTAAGGATTCCTTTCCCATCACAGTTCTTGCCAACATCTGTAGGGTTTTTTTGTATGCTTTTTCTTTTATAAATAAAAAAAGACATTTATTATTTGTGTGTGTGTGTGTGTGTGTGTGTGTGTGTGTGTGTGTGAGATGTGTGGGTATGAGCTTGCATGCCACAACACAAATGTGGCAGTCAGAGGACAACTCTGTGGAGTTGGTTCTCTCCTTCCACCTTTTTGCTAATTCTGTAGTTTGTCAGGCCTACACAGCAAGTGACTTTGCCCACTGAGCCATCTCACCAGTCCTTTTCTATTTTCTTGATTATAGGTGTACTGACTGGGATAAAATGAAACCTCAATATAATTTTGATTTGCATTTCCCTGGTGGCTAAAGATACTGAACATTTTTTTCATATGTTTATTGGCCATTTGTATTTTTTCAGTTGAAAATTGTCTATTCAATTAATTTGCCCATGTTTTGATGAGATGATTTTAAGTTTAATTTTTTGAGTGTTGAGATTAAAAGAGTGTGTCACCACGCCTGGCTAATTTTTGAGTTAAAAAGTGTATCGTGGATTTCAATCCTCCATTGGGTGAACAGCAATTTCCCCTGATTCTGTGCATTGTCTCCTCATCCTGCTGATTGTCTTTTATTTTATTTTATTTTATTTTATTTTTTGTTCTGTAAAGAAGTTTTAAGTTAGAGGCAATTTCATTTGTAAATTCTTTCTATGTTATATGAGCTACTGGAGTCACTTTCAAAAATTCCTCAAAAATCCTGGAGTGTTTTCTATTGTTTTTCTTAAGCACTCTCAGTTTCAGGTCTTATGTTAAGACTTTAATCTATTTTGAATTGAATATTTGTACTGGGTGAGAGTTAGGGATCAAGTTTCAGTTTTCTAAATGTGGATTTGAGTTTTCACAGCACCACTTGCTAATGTATTTTTGGCACCTTTGTTAAGAATCAAATGATTAGGGGCTAGAGAGATGGCTCAGCAGTTAAGAGCACTGGCTGCTCTAGCAGAGGACCTTGGTTTGATTCCCAGCACCCACATGGTGGCTAACAATGGTCTGTAACTCCAGTTTCAGGGAATCCAGTGCCCTCTTCTGACCTCCGAGAGCATTGCATGACATGGGTGCACTTACATGCAGACTCATACATATAAAATAAAAATAATAAATAAAATACTTTTTAAAAAAAGAATCAGATGATTATAGGTGCTTGCGTTTATGTCTGGGTTCTCTATTCCATTGCTTTTTTCTATGTGCTTTTTTTTTTTTTTTTTTTTTTTTTTGGTCTTTTTGAGCAGGGTCTCCCTGTAGCCCCAGCTGTCCTGGAACTCACTATGTAGACCAGGCTGGCCTTGAACACACAGAGATCCGCCTGCCTCTGCCTCCCAAGTGCTGGGATTAAAGGCGTGCGCCACCACGCCCAGCTGGTCTATGTGCTTTTATGTGCCAGTATCATACTGTTTTTGTTGCTATGGCTGTGTAGTAAAACTTGAAATGGGGTAGGCATTACAACAGTTTCAACATTGCTCTTTTTGTTCAGGATTGCTTTGGCTATTTGGGACCTTTTGTGTTTCTATGTGGACTTTAGGATTATTTTTCTAGGTTTATGAAGAAGCCATTGGAATTTTCATGGCAATCATATTGAATCCGTAGATCACTTCATGTAAGATGACCAATCTCACAATATTAGTTCTGCCAGTCTATGAACATGGGAACTCTTTTCATCTTCCATTTCTATCTTCTGTGTTTTAAAGTTTTCATTAAGGAACTTTTTCACTTTCTTGTTACATGTTTTTAAAAGAAGCAACACAGGACCCCAAATACTCAACTATGTTTTTATTTATATTGCCATGCTTAAGTTACATGGGAAAAGAAAGTCAGTTCTGTCCCTGTTTCAGGGTTGAGACTATTGTGAATGGAATGTTTCCTGATTTCTTTCTCAGTGAGTTCTTTATTGATGTATAGAGAAGCTACTGGGTTTTGTATGCTGAGCTTATATCCTGCTACTTTACTGAAAATATTTATCAGATCTAAAGGTTTTCTGATGGAGTCTTTAAGATCTTTTATGTACAGCATCATATCTCTACATAGGGATGATTTGACTTCTTCATGTTTGCATCCATTTTCAATTTCCTTTTGGCTTATTGCTCTAAGTATTAATCACAATATCACTGTGTTGAATAATAATGCAGATAGTGGAGGTCTTGTTCTTGATTTGAGAATAATTGTTTTCAGTTTTTCTTTATTCAGTAAATTTTGCCTACTGCCTTGTCATGGATGGACTAAATTATGTTGAGATATGATCCTTCTGTTTATAGTTTATTCAGGGGCTTTTTTCACAAATGGATGTTGGGTTTTGTTTAAAGGCCTTTACTCCATCTCTTGAGACAATTATGTAATTTTTTTCACCTTGATTTATGTATTGTACGATGCTTATCAGTTTTTGGGTACTGAGGAATTCTTCTATTCCTGGAATGAATTCAACTTGATTATAGTGTGTAATTTTTTTTCAGTATGTTGTTGTGTTCAGCTTAAGATTCTTTTACAGAAGATTTCCTTCCCTCCTTCCCTCACTTCCTTTTCCTTTCTCTTTTCTTTCTATGTCCTCATCCAATTTTGGTATTAAGGCAATGCTGGCTTTGTAGAATGAATTTGGAAATGTCCATTCCTGTTTTGTTTTGTGGAATAGTCTAAGAAGGGCTAGTATTAATTATTCTTTGAACGCTTGGTAGAATTCAGTAGTGAAATTCATTCAGTTATTGGCTTTCTTTTGTTGGGAGACTTTTGTTTTAATTAAAAAAAATTTCTTTCAGCTTTTTGAGACAGGGTCTCACTTTACAGCTCAAGTTAGCCATGAACTTGCTATGTAGCCTAGGCTGGCCTCATACTTGCCATCTGCCTGCTGTCACCTGTCAAGTGTTAAGGTTACAGGTATGAGCTACCATGCCTAGTTTGGGGAGCCTTTTCAAATTACTGCTGTGATCTCATTGTTTGTTAAGGATCTTTTAAAGCTTTTATATCCTCTCAGTTCAGGTTTTGGTAGGTTATATGTGTTTATAAATGCATTCATTTCTTCTAGAGTTTCAAGTTTATTAGAATATAAGTTTTCATATATTTCCTAGTGATCTGGACTTGAGTAATATGCTATGATTTAATCATTTTTTACTCTAATTTAATTAATTTGGGTCTTTCATCTTTTTCATTTTGGCTATCTTGTTTATCCTGTCAAAGAACCAAGACTTCTTTCATTGATCCTCTGTGTTGTTCTTTTAGTCTCCATTCATTTCAACTCTGACCTTTATTATTTCTTTCCTTTTACTGATTTTTGGGATTAGCATGTTCTTGTTTTTCTAAGATGTTGAGGTGCCTTATTATTTTGAGATCCCCTGGATTTTTTAGTGTTGGTATTTTTAGGAGATGGCAGGCACCTTTGGGCCTGATCCCACAGCCTGAATCTGGCCACATCTCTCTGCAGCTCTCTCAGAAACAGAGTTAAGAACCAGCCTGTGCTGTGACTTGATAGCTGTCAATTTATGGTACAGCTCCTCCATGCTCCCTGTCAGTTACATAGGTTACAGTGAACTAAATCACATTATGTGAAACTTCTCATCACCCTTAAAAGGTTATAAAAAATCAGACCTTTCCTTTGTTTTGGGGATTGGTCAGAGATTCCTTGGGGATTTGGTCTGGAGATGAAGGCTGCTATCTCAAGAGGCCACTCTGGCCTTCCTCTACCATCCCTTTTGTGGTCTCTCTCTCTCTCTCTCTCTCTCTCTCTGTCTGTCTCTCTCTCCTCTATTTCTATCTCTTATTCTTACTCTTAATGAATGAAACTCCTCTCCGTGCTTTGAAGGGAAGCATCTCCTTCTCTTTAAGGCCTCATAAAATTTAAATATTTCCACATATTTATTGTTTCTGTCTAATGCTCTCCCTCCTACTTCAAGGCCCAACCATGATCATGAAGCCTTCTCATTCCAATAAACCTTATCGAAGAGAATTGTGTCAGCTTCTTTTATGGACCAACAGCTGTCATTTTTACTACTATTATATTTAACAGGCATTTCCAGTTACAAATTTCCCTCTTAGAATCAAACTGTATTCCACAGGTTTTGGTCTATTGTGTTGTCATTTTGATCACTCACCAGGCTGCCCTTGAACTCATTAATATCTGCCTGCCTCTGCCACCCAAATGCAGGGATTAAAGGAGTGTACCACCACACCTGGCACACTCCATTATGATTTGTAAGATACAAAAGTTTTTTTTTCCAATTTTATAGTATTTTTAAATAACTAGTTGTTTATACTGCTATTTATCCCACCAAAGGAAATATTAAAGAAACATATTTTAATACATTGTGATATCATAAATTTTGAGATAAAATAACTTGAGTCAAATTTCAACCCTTTCCACTTGAGAGTACTGAGTAAAGTTTGATTTCAATAGTTGAACCTCTAAGGGAAGATCTGAAAAAAATAATGCTAATGAGACGTCTAGTTCTTTGATGAAACTTTTAGGCTTGGCAAACTTGTCAAAGTCAATGCAAAACTGAGGAGGGTGAGGCTGAAATCCTTAGTAAAGCAGTATTTTTAAATGGCCCAATTTCTCTCTCTTTTTAGAACAGATGCAGACTAAATGGTTTCTGTATGGATGCACATTGTTATCTGCTTCAACTTTTTTCTAAATATGACACTGTAGGTTTAAGTAGTATGCTTTTATTTACAAAACCACACATAATTAATTTAGCTTAAGAGCTTAAAGAAACACTTAACTGTTGTGAACATTATTATCAGCTGATCTGCTCCTACAAGAGTGACCCTTTGGAAAGAGGAAAGGAAAAGGAAGCAAAGAAAGAAAGAAAAGAGAAAGGAAGAAA